AATGGAATAGTTAACTTTGCTTTAACCAGTAGTATGCTATCCACAATTAACCATTTTAAATACTATTTGAATTTTCACAACTTTCTAAGTAAGAGAATGCCAAATCCTGCTCATCTCATCCCTACACCTAGTCCTGTGGGAATCAATGGAAGATCTTAACTAAACCTAGTGGGATTTTACTCTGTAAATTTGTAAAAACAACAAAACAAACAAACTAGGGATGGGGGAATATATATATGTATTCTGAGCTATGCTGCCTCAAAATATAAAATTTCCTTTTATTTGCAACCAGAAAGCACTGAGTTACCAGGAAAAGTTACCAGGAAAAGAAAAGGTGTGAAGAACAAGCAACTTTAAGCTTAGCAGTTATGATAGTGCAATGTATTAGCTGCATTGCATCACAATCCAATACATTTTTTTTTAGTATCAGGGAAGGACTCAGCAGTAGGTTCAGTTAGTTAGCCCACTTGAAAGCAAGCTGGCTTTCTTCCTTGATCACCTTCTCCAGTGTGCAGAGCAGTGCCTTCCTAATACTGCTCTGCAATTTTAATTGTTTTTAAAATAAAGTGAGTTTAGTTTTAGTGGAGGGTGGAAAGTCCAGAGGTGGAAAGTACTTGGTTTCATGATGGGACACTGAAGAAGAGCAAGAGGCTAAGTATACATGACCAGTTAGGTTCTAGTTGAGCAGGGTGGTTAAACCCCTGGTAGTCACAATGATTTCAAAGATTTTATTCCCAGGCTTAACGTTAGGTGTGTGCTTAAATGTTTTTCTAAATCAGGACCTTCATTCTTGGCCTCTGTGCTGAGGCTGCCAATAAGAGTGTCAATTGCCTGGGAGATTCATGTCCACAAGGAAGTACCTGAGACCAACTGCTTCCTCAACTGCTTTTAGATGATAACCATTTTTGATCAGCAACTGAGTGCTGTACTCCCTGGGTGTCTCTAAGAGATATGTTAAGGCAGTGTGGCTCTTCACAGAAAGTGTTATTCAGTATTTTAATTTTAACAGCATGGTGCCAGTTATATTTTTCCTGCCGTCATGTCTAATGCAATACATCAGCTATCTTTCTCTACCAATATTAACTAATGAACTACAGCTTTTCTTTGTGGAGTGTGCTCACCGCAGTTTGTGCAAGGTGTGTTTCTGTTGCTATGAATCTTTGGTTAAACTTAATTGCTTCATGTAGCTCCTGAGGCTGTCAGTTATTGCATTATGGCTTACAGGAATAAAAATGCTACAGATACTTAAATTAATTTAAAATATTAATAACCTTTTTCCTATTCATCCCATTTCTGTCTTCTGTTGAGTCCCTGGAGGAGATCCTTCCTTTTTCATGTCTATGTGACAAGGTATGTAACAGAATTCATAGATTTGTTGGAATCTGACAGGCTGTGCTGGGAGTGCTTCTACTATGGCCTCAAACTTGAAACCTCTGGGTTGTGACCAGGCACCCCAGCCGCAGCTGGAGGAGATGGAATGCTATATGTCATATTGTTCTCCACTGAACTCTTTGACTGAGCATCCAGATGAGCGAGGCCATGCAATATGTGGTGCTGCAGACACATCCGAGGTGCCACATACTGCACATTCAGCAGTTCTCTATGCTGCAAGGTAGCAACGTGGGTTTTTTCTTAAATCTCAGGTGATCTGCACAACAAAAAAATGGAGTGGCACATGTGGGGGCAGAGTGTGCCACCCAAAACTGGAGCCTGGCTGGCTGAAACCACACTCTGGCTGCTAGTCTGGCTCCAAGTGACAGGATTGCCACTGCTGCAGTCCCAGGAGGCCCCCAGAACCCCTGGCAAGCCCCCAAAGGACCCCAGACAAGTCCAGTGCTGGCCCCAGCCTCTCCTGCCCTACCTGGGGTAACCTACCACGTGCTAGAGGGTACGGGGCACAGGCATTCTCCAAGGACAAGTAGCAGCGGCACAAAGTATGCCACTGCTTCTTGCCCCAGGGAAACGAACATCCACGTTCACGTGGATGCAGCCTTCTAGTCAACTTCAGGCACAACAACAAAAGGCTTTGGAGGGAGCAAAATACATTTGGCTTCATTAGAAGAGCAAGACTGCTATGGTGCAGGACCTTGAAAGCAGATAGAGCAATACGAAGTCTCAGCACCACCCCACAGTTAGGGAACAAAGTTGGGAAATGTTATGTAATAGTAAAATTCCCCAAAAGACCACATTGAGCATGGGAGAGAGTCAGGTAAAAAATTACTGATGGGAGGCTCAGGGTAATAAAATAGGATGGCTTGCCATTTAGGCCTCTGAATCTGATTTTGTATTCATTGCGAGTAAAAGCTGTCATCATCAGGTGACAATTTGTTGCCCTATGAGGACTTCTTTGTGGATAACTTGTAATACCACCAACATGGCATTGTTACCATTACTAGCAGCTTCGCAAAGTCTGGATAGGAGAATTGTTCAACTGTGGAGAGAATGTGCGAGCTAAGAGGGATGCCTGAAAATAGGAGTGGGAAAGGGACAGTAAAAGATCAGAGGAGAAAAGCATAATTGAGAGCACCCAGTGTCTATTTCCCCCTGTCTTTCCTTGGCCACTTTCTGTCACAGTCACATTTTTGTGAAGTCAGAGTATCTCCATTGTCTTCAGACTATGCTTGCCACTAATGAAGACAGGTTACTGGGCTAAATGGACCTTTGGTCTGACACAGTATCACAGTTATAATGTTCAGCTGAGCATGCTATTTAAAACCAGATTTGCCTGAGTGGAAGTGAGAGCATAATTTATCCCAAAGAAGGTTGAGAAGAGCTGTTAATTACATTTCCATTCTTAGAGCTTTCTGGGTCTCCCTTTCCTTTGCTATGTTTCATCTCCACTGTCATGGCCCCCTGCTCTAGGTCACCTCTGGAACCAGTGGAGATTTACAGATGCAGATCTGCACCAGCTGCCACAGCTGTGAGCAGAACTTGGCGGTGCCAGTCACCTTTTCTTTCTCTCTAACAGTTTGATGGAGAAAAGAAAAAAGCCAAAATGAGCTTACCTTAGCAGCCTCCACTATCAGAGGTGAGCTGGGGACCTTACATCACTAGACAGAAACATACTGACTTTATTAGAAGATGGCTTCTACTGAATAGCCAAGTAATATTCCTCAAGTAACAGAGCACCGGTGTATAAGCAGCATATTTTGTGAGCCTCTTGACCAGGTAGTACATTACTGAGCTATAAAACACCTGGGTTATGGGGGACCTTTATTTACATTCTCAATGATACCTAAAAATACCTGTCCCACTGTCTCCCACAATCTCTGTCTCTATCAATTAGATTAGAGATGTCCATTGGACTGCATGTGGTCTGCAAGGGGTTAAGTAACAGCCTCCAGACTCATGCTTAGCTGCTGCTTCCCCCATGGGTCTAGGCTCTCTGTCCTTTCTGTCTGCTGCTTCCTGTCTCTGCCCCAGGAGGTGGGTCAGTGAGGGGGGGGGGGGGGGGGGGGGGGAGTGGAACAGGGCTGTGTATAAAGGGGAGTCCTGCAAGGAGGCATTGCATCTGGGGAGGAATCACACCCATAACCACACCCACACCTTACAGTGCGGGTGGGGGGCAAGGTAGGAAATGGTGTTCATGTACTGGTAGCATGGTGCAGCAGGGGGTGGGCCACTGTGTACTAGTAGCAGGGGGTGTATATAGGTACATGGTACAGTGGGGGATGGGGGCAGAGCGTCTGTATGGCCCAGTGGCATATAGCTCAACTGGGGTGGCCTGCATACTGTGCCATCTCTGCAGTTGGGACCTCCTGGGACATGTGGCCTCAGGGATTTTAGAATTTGAACAGTCCTGCTGTGATACAACAGCAAAATCTGGTTCTTCAGAAAGAAAACTTTATGGAAAAGTTCCCTAATATATAACAAAGCTTTATACATATCTGATTGGGTTTGACAGAAATTACCATAAAAAAAAACTCATAAAATGAAGTACAAACTGAATAGTTTCTGTGGCATTTTATTTTAAAATTAGAATAGTCTCAAGAACCCGGAAGGCCCCTGAACATGACATTAGGGCAGTGTCAAGTTCTACGTGGCCTTTATGTAGGTGCAGCATGGAGAAGTTTGTGGCAAAGACACTTTCTGTGGTAGTTGGGTTCAGATTAGTATCAGGCCATGGGTGGATCCAGGATCATAATGGGGAGGAAGGGGAGCAGCCGTGCCCTCTTTGGCTGTGTGGCACATGCACGCTGAGCCCTCTAAGCTCATGGGCACATCATTGCAACTCCTGCCAGGGCTGTCACTAAGTCTGGCTGGAGCCCCTGCTTTTGCATAGCCCCAGAGCTGAGGGGGTGAGCGATGCCACTATTCACCATCTCTACACCTTTCCCCTGCTGCTGAATTTAGCTGGGGGAAAGAGGGAATGAGCAGCAGCAGCACTAATTCCCCAGGCTCCAGAGCTGTGTGAAAGCAGGAGTCTGTCCAAACCCTGTGCCGATCAGCTGGCAAGCTGGGAGCTCGTGGCACCTGCAAAGTAATAGAAGCAGCTGCAGTGACATACCAAGTGAGCTCTCTCAGCTCACAGGCAAGTGCCACACAGCCAAAGCTGGGGGTGCAACCGCACTGCCCTAGAACCAGGCAGATTGGCTGTTCCTAGAATTGGGGAATTAAGAGACTGCTCCATCCCTACCAGTCTGGTAGCACAGAGTGGGGAAGGACAAGACAGTGTAGAGTTAAGACCATTACTGCCCCCATTTGGTGCTGCAGAGCATGACTGGGACACTCCAAACATCAGATTGAACCATGTAAAAGCTCTGCAGGAATATTGCCCTACATACAGAGCTCCAGAAAATTCTCTGCCTCTTGGAGACAGGATGCCTCAGAGTGCTATAGCTCACAGGTTCCCGCCCTCTTTATGATTTTTTTTTTAAACTGATAAATATAGAGCAATGAAGTCATGTTGCAGTGGAAGAGACCAGTCTCAATTCCAAACAATTTAGTTTGGAAACATATACTGGATGATTGATTGCCCTACAGGCCCACTCTAGCTGTACAGCCAAATTCTGCTCTCTGTTACCTCTATGTAGCACCACTAGGAATGCCAACCCTCCCAGATTGGCTGGGAGACTACTGGAACCTGCATCAATCTCTCACTGGCTATTGAACGCAATCTGGGAGACTGATATTGTGAATGGGTTGAACATTACATTTAATGACTGGAAGTGCACCAATACATTGGTCCCATATTGGACCAGCACCAATATAAGGAAAATTGACAGTATTGGCCATTGGCTTTTGTGGCTGATGTGGCCGATAATGTCACTGATAAATGCCCCATGCATGTGTGCAGACACAGAGCAGCACGCAGGCAGTCAGGAGCACAACCCAGCAGCATGGAGAGCAGCCAGGTCCAGCTAGTAAGTCTGTTGCAAGGGAAAGGGCGGAAGGAAGGGAGGGAGGGAGGGGGAGTTGGGGGGGCAGATCGAGGCCCCAGTGGTAAGGGAGGGAGTGGAGCTGGGGCAGGTGCTGCATAGCCAGGACAGGACGTGGGATGGAACTGTGAGCAGCTCATCTGGGGGGGCACAGGGAGGGGGTGGCAGTTCCTGCCACTGAGCACACACCAAGGAGGGCACGGGGAGGGGGTGTATATCCCTGGACTCGTGCGTGGGGTGAGGGTGGGCTGCTGCTATGGGCTGGGGCTACACTTGGGGCAGGCAGTGGTGGCACTGGGAGGGGGCTATGGTGAATTTAAGGGGTGGCTGCAGCCCTCCCAGTGCCACCCACCCCTAGTGTAGCCTGGTCCAGCACCCTACTGGGAGAAGCTTGGCACCGCCCTAGCCCCAGCCTGCAGCAGCAGCCTGCCCTTGCCCCACATGTAGATCTGGGAGCACACACCTCTCATGGCTCCCCCAGGGGTACACCTAGCTGCAGAATCCACTCCCCCCTTCCTGTGGCTCCTGGATGAGGTACTCGTGGCTCTGTCCTGAACTTGCGCCAGCTGTCCAGTGCCTGCCCCTGCCACAGCCCCACTCCCTCCCTCACTGCAGGGGCCTCGATCTGCCTTTCCCATGCCCCTTTCCTCACAACAGACTTATCAGCTGAATGCTTCTCTCCAAGCTGCGCAGCTGCATATTTGCGATCTGATTGGTATCAGCCGATATGGCTCATTCAAAGTTGGCCATCGGTATTGGTCCCAAAAAAATCACTATTGGCGTACCCCTATTAATGACATTACATTATGTTGGGGGGAAAAAAACCCCAATCTCCTGAAATAGCTTCAGTCAGAGTTGGCAACCTGAAGCACCACCCCTGTCACCTCACTGAAGTCAGTGATTTACACTGATGTCAATGAACTCTGACTAAGAACTTCATAGGGTAGGTGTGCTATTACACAGAATCTCATTGCATAATCTATATAGCCAGACTTTTTACTGTCCTTCTCACTGCAGTATCTGAGTGTTTTATGGGGGAAAAGAAACCCCCCCCCTGAAAATCTTTGGTTCTTTTTATAGTTTTAAAGTGCCTTTCCAAGGGTATATTAAAGGCATTTTTCTTTTATTTGAGAAAAAGCCATCCAGCACTGATGAGTTTAATTTTCACCCCGGATATAGCAAGGTTCAAGGTCAGTCTCCACTGCAATAGAAGGAAATTCAAAATCCTCAGGAACACACTTGGGCATATAGGTTACACCATGTTCCCTGCCACATACTGATGAGGCATTGTAGCAGTATATACTACTAGCAGTTCACCTGGAAAACTGTTTGTTTGTCCCCTCAGGATGCTGATAATACTTATATTGGGTGTTTTTATAGGTCCATGTGACTTACACCAATGTAGATACATGTCCAGGTGTTAGGGCACCCAAGTCATCCATGATCCGCTGTGAGAGTTGGATCTCTGAGCTAATTATTAAATCTGGAGGGAGAAACTGGAGCAGGGTTTAGGACACAGGCCAGGGTCAGAACCCAGAAAGCCAGTAACCTAGGATGTCTGCAGACATGAAGGGAGGCTACACCAATATGCTGTACTTACAGTGCATTGGAGCAGACTCAATTAATGGAGTCTGCTGGAATGTGCTAATTAACGTACCTCCAGTAGCATCATGTGTATCAGCAGCCTCATGCTTCAAAATGGCAGTGGGGTGCTTTAACTAAAGCTCATTTGATGAGCTTTACTTAAAGTGTTCCTGCTGCCATTTTGAAGCACAGGGATGCTGATACACAAGATACCAAGGGTGTGTTAGTTAAACCTGCTCTCAGAGCCACTCTAAAGCAGTCATTCCCACTGGAAGCCACTCCCCCAAGTACATGTAAAAATACTTCAAGTTACCACAGCTGAGGCACAATCCACAGGATAAAGTCAGAGCAACAAGTCAGGGGTCCAGATGCAGGAAAGTTAGCAGCCAAGTTACCAAGTCCAAAAGGTAGTCCACAGGATTAAGTCCTAGCTCAGTATCAAACCAGAGTTAGGACCCAGGAAACAGATCTGCAGAGGAAGTCCAAGGCCAGGGTCAGGAGCCAGGAAAATCAGAGAGAGCAAGAATCAAGAAGCTTGTTACTGGGGGAAAAAAATTGTTGACTGGCCTGGAAATCTGTGGCCCCCAGCTGCAACTAAATTGTGGCACTCCCAGAAGCCAATCAGGATGCTCACTGTTCTTAAACAGAGTTTAAGGAAGAGTTAATTAGCCAGTGACTTATTGCAGGTGTGACTGCTTAGGTACTTAGGCCTGCTTGATCAGGGTTCTTGATGCCAGGGCTAGGGACAGATTCAGAAAGCTGGAGCCTGAATTGATTCAATCATTGCAGGTTAGTCTAACCTACCTAGAGTGAACCAATTTGCAAGTGAATAGGCATTCACAAAATGTAAGCATATGCCTGCAGTGGCTCAGGCTAGGAGCTGCGGAGTGCTAGAGCAGCTGCAGGGAAGCTGTGCTGGAGAGGAGTGGCTAGCCCTGGCAGCAGCTTGGAGTGAACTGGCTAGGGAGGTGTTTAATACCCTCCTCCCTGTCCCACCATCATGGACCTCAGCTGGGGTCTGCCTGGCACTCCCCACTCACTGCTGCAGCAGCAGGGCAAGGCCAAATGCTGACCAGCATAGCCCCTGAGGCAGAGGGGGCAGGGAGAAGGGTTATCCCTCCTCTACCCCACTGACCCACGGGGGACTACAGGCAGGGTCCACCTTCCCTGACCACTGTCACTCACTCCTTGTGTGAGGCAAGCAGCAGGTTAATCCCCTCCTGTCCCCTCCACCAGACACCAGAGGGAGGGGGGAATAACTCCCTTCCCTGCCTGCTCACCTAAAGGGCCCTGCTGGCTGGCCTCTAGCCAGGCCCCCAGCTCTGCTGCTGGAGCAGTGAGGGGGCAGGGCCCTGATGGAGCAGCAGCCCCTGTCCTATCATCTGGGGAGGATGAGCCTCTTCCCAGTGGGGCAGCTGTGAGTGGGGGGATCAGAGCTGCCGCAGACTGCGTGGGGTGAATGGCGGCACCAGGGTTTAGAGAGGGCTATAGGCCCCCAAAGCACCCTAGCACTGCCACCACCACTTGCTCCATGCAGTCTGTGGCAGTTTTCCCTGCCTCACAGTGCACTCCCCTCCCCCACCGGGAAGAGGCTTGCACTCTGGGACACTGTGATTGGGGCTGTAGCACCCACCAGGGTCACTTTTCCCTCACCGCTCCAGTGGCAGGAGCTGGGCAGAACTGGAGCCTGGCTGGCACAGCCCCTTGGGCGGGAGGGTGGTGACAGGGATGAGGGTTATTTCCCCCTGTGGCCCCAGGGGACCACAGTGGGGTCAGGGTGGGCAGACCTGGCCATGGTCCCCTGGGGACAGTGGGGGTAGTGGGGGAAATAACCCCCCTCTCTGCCCCTTCTGCCTCAGGGGCCTTGCTGGCTGATGTTTGGGTGTGCCTCGCCACTGCAGCAGCAAGGGAGGAGCACCAGGCAGATCTTGGTTTGAGTCCATGTTGTTGGGACAGGGAGGGGGGAATTAAACCCCCTGCCAGGCCAGTTCATTCCAAGCCACTGCTGGGGCTGTCCATGCCCCTGCTTCTGGAGCAGCCAGCAGAGAAATGCAGATCTGCACCAGTGGGACGAGGGGGAGGGAATAAACCTCTTCCCTGCTTCCTTCTGGGGTGTGCCTGGCCAGAGCCCTGTCTCTGCCTGTCCCTGCTTAGGCTGGGGAGGAAAGGGGCGGGGCCAGCCCTGCTCTGCTGGAGCAGAGAGCACAGCCCAGAGAGCATGGCGGTATGCTGGGGGACTTTGGTTTTAACTTAAAAAGAGAAGGGGTCTGGGACAGAAGTTGCATACACCAGTTTGAACTCAATCAGTTAAGTCTGATACTACATTCATCTAGGTTTATCTCAAACCTGTTTCAGCCATTTTGAAACTGGTTTATGTGCACTGAATTTATGTTCTGTTACAGGTTTAAACTAGTTTCTGATCACTTAAACCAGCTTATGTGAATGTCTGTCTCTAGTCTTGGTGCCACACATATGTGTTTGCATCTGTGGACTGCTGAATGATGCTTCATCTGAAAGTTTTTCAAAGCCCCTGCCTTCATTTCAGTACAGAGCACTTTTCAGTGATTAAGACTAAAGATCACAAGTGAATGGTGAAGTTGACTTCCAGCAGAGAGATCATAGCCTCCTGATCAGCTAGAATTAGAAGTAGCCGCAGAGACGGTTCTCAAATTGAGTTTTCATGCTGATGGTTGAAGGACCAAAATCTGGTTACCTTTATCAGACTAAGGATTTACCCAGGACAAAAATGTCCCTACCTACAGTAGCATTCCAGTTCTCTGTCAGTATACCAGTTGATAGATGCCATCACAGTTGTGGTATAAGTTGGCAAGTTTGCTGAGTGCCATGTCCTTCTTTGAAGTTCTATCATTTGGCATTGTCTGTACATGCAAATTACATCTGCAGGAAGAGAGCCACTGCGTGCATCTACATGTGCAATTAATGTGACTGAATATGGTCCAGCTCAATTTGAGCCAGAGTAAATTAATCCTGACGTCACCGTCTACACGTGCATTTCAGCGTAGTTATTTACTGCATTGCTAGATACCACTTGTATCTGATGGAACTATCCAGCAGCCCAGTAGATTAGTCTACTGCATCCTAATTGCCATGCATGTGTAAACAGTGACACTTTACTGCACAACAAATTGGTCTGCTGCACGGTAAAGTGTTTTGTGTAGACATGCCCACTGAAATATTCAATAGGTTTGGTAAAAATTGACAATCATGCCTAGAGACATTAGCATTTTGTCATCCATAAATAGAGAGACAAAATTGGGTAATCTCTAGAATAACATCAGGCCGTCTTCAGACAAATTTCAGGATGACCTCAGACTAACAGCTAGCTACCTCTCTCTGTAGTAATATAATGTTTTCCCAAAAGAATATATGAATTGAGCAATTTAGATACAATCATTGGCAAGTGAACCTCAAAAAATTGAGAAACCTGATTTGGTTCAGATATACCCTCTAAAATCTGAATGTTTATCTAAGGAATATGTGAACAGTTAATTGGGTGATAAATGAAACTGGGCTTTACTGCATGTCTGCTGCTTCATCGTAACTTCTCATATGCTTGCTTTCACCCTGTGGTATGTTGAAGCTAAACCTCAGTAATTTACTCTTCTTTCCCTGAGAGCTAAGGTATCCTCAATGTACAGTAAGTCCTATCCTTGACCTTATGGTAAATTTTTCATATACCTATACCTTAAATGCATATATCTGAACCCCCTGAGGGTGCCAGATAAAATACAACTGGGGTGGAATCTCAAGTGAACAGGCTAACCAGTTCAAGTTTTTCTACACATCTGCCAAGACATACCATAAGACAAACTTTTCTCATTGTTTGTGATTCTTATAGTGCTTAATGAAACTAAGAATAACAAAAGTGTCCAACCACTTTTAAATTTGTTTTAAGACTTAAGTTGATTTTTTTTAGTCTTAAAAAAGTATGGATTGCATTCTAGTCTGTTCTTATCTGCAATACTTCACCTACCTCTAACTTCTACTCTATATTTTCACTTGTGAACCTTATTTTAGATGAACTACAGAGATATGGCTCTCACTCATTGTGTGTCTTGTTAATTTAAATCAAAAAGGGAATAATGAATTCTTGCCATTGTTGACCTCTACACTTTATGTACACTTTGAATGGATAAGAGACATCAGCACAGCTTAGGCAGTTTTGAAAAAAGTCATGCCAGGAAAAAAAGATAGAAGGAAAATTTGATTCAAAAGATAAGTATGCTGTAGTAGAAGGATAACTGAAATATGACCTTTCAGAGTAAATGATGGGGGGAAAATAGCATTGGAAACAGAATACATAGGCATACTTCTGCCAGTCCAGAGAAAAGTAGCTGTAAGTAATTCATTTAGGGATACCTGACTTTGAAAACTGCGGTCTTAGAAAATGCCTCAGAAAATCCTGGTTAAGAAGGTGTTCAGGCTTGTGCATGGTACACATGTAGAAGCAGCAGCAGAATGACCACTGTGGTGTGTGCTCCCTCATGTCTCCCTGTACGGGCCACAGTTTAACTACTACTAGAGGAAGACAAAAGAAGGGATTAAAGGACACCTTATGGCCAAGTTGGAGAAATGTGATATTAACATCAATGAACCCTGCTGGTAAAGCAAGACTAGGCTAGGCAAACCCTAAAGAAAATATAAATAAATATATAATTTATTTTCTGGTTTAGCAAACTTTGGTGGAGGAAAAGATCTCTACAAAAACCTACAAGTACCACAGATTTAAAAACTGAAGCTGTGTACTACTTAAACAGAGATGTGTGTTGTGCCGCCCCCGCAATTACATTCTAGGGAAGCTTGGATCGAATTTATAATGATGCCATTCAGTTTCACAACTAATTTGCCTTTTTCCTGTGGAGACTCCTATGCAGCACTCAGCCTCTGTATATCAAAATCTTGGAGACAAACAGCTCTTGGAGGCAACCCTGGGTTTGGGCCTAAACTTTGCAGAAGCTAAATTCTGCTTAGGGTTCAGTTCTGGTTCCAATGAAGTTAATGGGAAAACTCTCATTGCTTTGCGTAGAAGGAGAAAAGGGGCCTTTCAGTATCAGCTGACCCCTCCTGGAAAAGCTCTGAATAATGTGCTGTTTCATATCAAGCCTCCTGTGTCATGGTTTCAGTGGTTCAGGGGAGACGCTGGGCAAGGCACTTCCTTCGTCTTTTGGGTGATTTGCGTCAAAACAAGATCTTTATTCTTTAGAAGCTGATCTACTCCTGCAGCTTACACCCCACTTGAAGTTGTAATCCTTTGTTGGTGACATCACACTTATTGCCATAATGATTCAAGTGATGTCACAAAGAGAAGCTTATGACTTTAAATGAGGAATAAGCTGAAAGAGCAGATGAACTCTTAGGGAACTAATTATATAAACATCCTTGTAATTATATAAATGTACTAAAAATAATAAAAGAAGAGAAAAAAGATATGCAACATGTATTGGTATTTTCAAAGTTTTTCATGAGGACTGTTGGCTCCTTTAATCTTGCCTCTTAAAATCTGTAACTTTTTCCCCCAGAGTTTTAGATTACTATATGGCTTCTTTCATTAGCTGGGAAATCACCTTCACTAACA